TTTTAAGATTATGCTCAAGGGCTTTTAAAATCTCATGATGACTCAAGTTAATTATTGCAACGTTCCTTAACTAAGATACTATTTAGACTCTGTCATATATTCACTCGGCTGTCTTCCCTTTCTGAGGAATGTGAGATGCAGTGAGGCAGCTAAAGAAGAACGACAGGTCAGGCTGTAAGTTGATAAGCGCATATGTTTGTAGATGAAAGGGAAACTGCATATATAAATCTGTGCAGACGCTTGCGTGAGTTAGGGAGAGTGTATCCATTTGCTGTCGGGAGACTTCAGATCTAATGGCAACAATCCCGATATGTGTGAGAACATGAGGGTCTTCTGTCTGAATATGGCCTGCACCGCATTATCATGCAGGCAGTAATGTGTCAGGAGAGTGTGCACAAAATGTATTGTGAATCAGTTTAATGAGAGCGTGAGTGAGCTATTATTTCCTGATGTTTATTTATCATGATAGCAACAGTGTTATTATGAAACAAGCGCCATCTGATCCACCCAGCATGCATTTTGAAATGGAAATTCATCAGTGAGGCTGCTGTGTGGGCAACTTACTGAGCCACAAAGAGGAAGCAGTTTTAACATGCAAAATAAAAGGGAATAAGTGATAGTACTTAAACAGTCAAAAAGAAAGCAGAAACCTTATTTTGTAGTTCGGTTTTATGAGATGACTGAAGGAGCTTGGCATCATTATGAAGACAGATTGTAAGAAACAAGACCCCGGCGATGACCACTAACACTTTCAGAAAGCTTTCAGAGCGATTGTCACACATTCACACGCAGACTTAATTAGAACAAATTGGCACCTCAGTGGCACCCAATGCTAAGAAGATGATGGCTGTTCAGCATTTATTTTCAGCACTGAAGAGACCACATTTGAATGAAGCTTCATCGATAAAATCCCAGGAGTGACTTTGTGTTTGTTTCTATTTTGGACTGTTTTCATGTGTATTCTTGAAGGAATTCTGAGTACAACCACAAGTAATAATACTGATTTTATTTTGCCAATCTTAAAAATGTCATTAATATCAGCTCCTTTCCTCCACAGCTCTTTTGTTACTGTGGAAAATATTGCTGTGTTTTCATAACAAATGAGATTCTGTAATTTGCCAAGTTTGACATTAGCAACTTGGTTGATATTTTGTTAATGTCAAAAAACACAATTTTGCAGTTGCGGTGCTTTCCATTAAATAAGAAACCCAATTAAATCCTCACACAAATAAGCTTATTCATGCAATAAGTTATGAAAAACCATGCTGGGCCATCGTCCTCCTACAACTTCCTGTCTTCTTCTTCGTCTTTTCTGCCAGTAGTAACATCCAGTTCTTGATCACGTGGCTTATGTGATGCAAAAAAAGTGTTAGTTTTGTTTTATTTAAAGTGCACTAAGATATTTGTACTGCTAGAAATTAGACAAAAAATACAGACCCAGAAAACCAACCCTATTTTAAAATTAAGATCTCAACAACAGTTGTTGAATACCAACCACAATTACAGTAAAAGATTGGAGTTGACAACAAAAATGTGGTTTTTCTGCAACTTGATCTCGGAATTTTACACAAGATTGTTGAGCATGTTGAATTTTAGGCATGTGTGGATTATGAATATCCATAATAAATTACATGTGTGAACATAATTCTTGTTTTGTAAAAATCATCAGTAAACTATCAGCTCCCATTAACAAAGCACTAAAAACTCAAAATGAGTAAATATCTGGCCAGGAAGATAATTCTAGCTTTGTTTCTTTTTTTCATCCCTCTGAAACAAAATGAATAATGAATCTCATAAATGATACAACTATATAATAAACTTTACATTATAAATCCAGCTCCACAAGCCTGATCGAATCCAAAGGGCCTTGCAGCAGTTCTGCCGTTGTCCTCTAGGTTCCGCAGTGAGCTGCAGATCTATTTTTAGCTCAGCCTCAGCTGGAGGACAGGGTATTTATAGCCGTGAATCTGTTCACTACTGGGCTGTGGAGGTTCAGCCTCACACAAACATACACACAGCAGGATGTGCATCCTCCCACTCACACTGCAAGGCACACTTTCCAGGACCAGGACTAATTCATTAATACACTCAGACATGCAGTCATTTAAAGGCTATCAAGTGCCTGGAGGGGCTTACTTGCATCAAATGGCTGCTGATGTAAGCATTAATGGGCATGACACACATCTTCACACTGAGTTTTAAGTGCTATTGCACATCCTGCAACACAAGCAGTATGTTTAGCAAGAATGCTAACAAATAAACTATAAAGGATGGTTGTTCAGAAATGTAAATGGACCAATAAAATAGCCATGCATGCAGGAGGCTTCAAAACACTTGTGCTAGCAGCATCCATACAGAAAGAGAGGGAGCTCTTGTTCTCTAAGTGCGCCCTTAAAAGCCACAGAACCAGCTCTTCAGTTCACACTCGAGCGGCTGCTGAAGCCTGTTAATGCTCTCGATGGAGGTGGTTGGTACACACATTCGTCTGCCCGGATTCCACTGGAAGCTCAGACAAAACAGCCAAATACAGCTGGAGCTCCTGCACAAGATGTGTTTTATGGTGTTAATATGAGTAGAAAATCCCAAACTGGCAAAATCACGTTTGGAAAAACCTCAAACTAAGCAGTGAAAACAGTGTTGAGCTGCAATATTCATCCATCCAGCGTCTATACACACTTATTTGCCAAGAGGCCTTGTACCATCATCTTTTACCAGGTTCTGGTTTATTTCTTTTGTGCCATACACCTTAAAGGTGTCCAGCCCTTGTTGGCTTATAAGACACATAAATACATTCAAAGATGCAGACAGAGACCAACATCAGCATCCGTCAAACACAAAGCGTCCTCTTTCAAAGGTGCTGAGCTTTTGAAACATACTGAGCTAACTGAAACACGATACTGACATAAGTGCTGTAGTTTATCTTCATCACATTTATAAATAAGTTTCGTGCCATTCACCAATTGAAACCTTAAAGAGATTAATAACACAGATTTATGTTTTTGTTTCTGATTATTTTTGGCTTGATTGACTTTATTCTGACAAGCAAGTTTAGTTCGACTACATTGACTTCAATATTTTAGCTACAAAATAATTGTATCCTGAAAAAGAAATGTCTGAAATCCTATAATTTCTTTCCTATTTGAGGTGTAATTACTGTCATAGTTTTCTTCCTTGTTCAGCAAAAGTACATCCTTGTAGAATCTAAAAATGTGATGAATAAATATTGCAGCTTTGCACCCTAAAAACAGTGACACTTTGGCACCAACACTACATCAGGCTGGACGTCCTGCTGTGGATTAAACAGCTACATGGGACTAATTATCGGTTTCAGCTCCAAGTCACACTTACACACTCGGTATAAAAGCAAACTCTTGTAATCATTGCCAATTCACTACTAAGCTGTTGATAAAAAGGCAAAAAAAGAGAGAAGAAAATCACACTTTCTGATTGATTTTTCAGTTTATCGTTATCGTCGAAGACAATATCATCATCATCTTTACTTCAAGAGGAAAGCACTTTTTGTGATCAACCACAAATTAATTATGTTGGTAAACTTAATGACCAACATGACCAATGAGATTGCTGCTTCTCATTGGTCATGTCAGGAAGTATCAGCAGTATTATTTTGAATTAAGCTTTGGTTTTTCTCAGTTTTGTAAAAAAAAAAAAAAAAAGTAACACAGTACCTGCAGTTTGTTTCCTGCAGATGTACTTTGACTTCCAGGTAGCATGATTCATATTTCACCTTTCTGCTGGTGTGATCAGTTCATTAATTCTTGCCAGCTCAAACATTTCAGTGAAAATCAATCAAATGTGGTCTTTTTTTACCTTCTTTTCAGTGCATCTCATCACGCCTTTCCCTCAGAGTTAGCTTTATTAAAAAATCTACTCAGTTGATTTTTGAAAAATCCAATAAGAGTCCCTGTGTTTGACTCCCTGTGTTTTGACACACCAAAACATGAGAAAATGGCAAGCAAGAATGACCGTTCACTGTCCTGTGGGTACCCAGTGTACTTTATACAAACAGTAGGTAAAATAATCATGGAACATTTCAGTGTATTTATCTATATATCTCTAATCACACCAGATGTCAAAATCACCCAAAATCAACCACATAACACAAACAAAACAAAATCAGTCCACAAATGAAGTTGGACTAATTTATTTATTCACTTAAATAATAAGATTTTTTGTTTTCCCCATGTAAAACAATAAGTAATGCACTTAACAACAATGAACTTGATACAATCGCTGCTCCAAACTCCACTGCTAAAGAAAAATCATACTGGAGCTTCAGTTTAACATTTGCTGAAGATTTAGAAAAGCCAGTGAAATACTCTGAGAACATTGTCTGGTAAGATGAGGTTGAAGTTGAACTAATGGATGTCTTTGGGGGCAAATGGTTCTGCACATCACCCCAAAAAATACCTAGCCAAAAGTAAAGTTTGAGGATGAGTGCATCGTGCTGTGGGCTGCCTTACAACATACAGTAGACTTCATATTGAAGGGAGGATGAATAAGAAAATCTTCAGGAAGGTGGATGAACATACTACTAAATAAGAAGAAAAGTAAATTGTCAACACTGCAGGACTCCTTAGTCCATCTTGGAGATGACATTTTCTGAATCCAGAAAAACGCAGTAAAACAGAAAGGTAATACAAGTATACCACAATATTTTCAATAAAGTTCAGAAATGTGGAGACAGCTGCTGTGCAAACAGTGAGGGCAACAGACCTCCTCATCTTGCAGACTCAGAAACTGTGTTTACTCTGAAAACATTTCCAGTCAGTAACGAACTGCCACGACTGGTTTCCAACAGAGATGACAAATATTAAGAGAAAGACTGCAGGATTTGGTGTCTGTCAGAAATATGTGGAGACAGATTACCATGTAACCCAAAACAACTCAAAGACAAACCAGGTGTTACTTCATTCTGGTTTCCGTTTGTGTCGCCTCAGTAATGTTTCTGATTTCATGTGAAATGACGTAAGCACACAAAACAGGTTTCAGCGCCGTTTTATTGAAGCCTCGAAACCAGATCACAGCTGCCCTGACACAGTGCTGCTGCACTGCAGAGACTCCCATCTGCTGTGCAAATACATGTGTGAGTGAATGAGCTCAACAGCACAACGCTGGCAACACTTCCAAGGACTTCATGCTTCAGAATGGCCCTGAAGCATCCAATAAGTTAAAATCACAACAGGGTTTAACATAATTACATTATAATAAATTACAAAGAGCACTGCAGTACAAATTAGAAACCAACATTATCAGCAGGTTAATTTGTCACATTAATAGTATAAACAAAAATTACAGAATCTGGGTCATTATAGAGCTCAGGTCATGTCAGGATAAATACTGACAATGGTAATGATGTTAAACAAACAAACCTATATAACAGTAACACGGTGTACTCAAAAAGATTAGGCACAAACAGTATCACACACTCCCCCTAGTGGTGAAAGTATAGAAAAACAACAGCTGTTTCAGGTCAAAAATCTCTAACTCTGGAAGTATATAATCCAGGTTTTGGCAAGTGGTTTCAGATGTCAACAGTAAGTAAGTTTAGGTTGCATAATGCACATGCAAATACTCAGGTTTATAAGACATAAGACACAAAATATAATCTAAATCAAACTACTTTTTTGTTATTTGCATGATTTACACAAACGTATCCAGTTTGAAGTCATTTTCTTACTAATCATCCTTCCTGTTGTGATGGCCTTTCTTGGCTGCTTTTAACTCATCATTCTCAGGGGTTGAGGAATTTCTGTGTTCTTCCTGCTAACCTTAGGGACATTTGCTACAGTGACATTTTGCGGAGTACCACTGCATGCTTTTGCTGAGCCTCCTGCTGCTCTGCTCCAATCTGACATTCAAACTGATGGAGAGAGATGAGATCCAGCTGAGCAGCTTGGACTGCGCCGAGGCTCCCTCTGCTACACAGCAGTAAATGCAACTTGTCAGGAGATTTTTAGGAACACAAAGTCTGGTTGCCATGTTGGCCACTGAAGGCCTGTGCAAATGTCTTTCTGAAAGAAAGAAACTGTTCCAGTTTGAAGGATTATCACTGCTTTAATGTCTTTTAACCTACATGGTGGCAAAATCCACAAGCCTGACTGTTTCCAAATTTTGAATAATCAATCAACTCAGCAGGTAATTATTTATTCACAATATCAGATCAAGTATATATTCATATTTAAATTAAAAAAGCTACATTTATCTATATTGTTTTTACTATTTATATAGAAAATAAAGGTGGATATTATTGTAAAATCTTTTAGTTATTATATATTCTTTCATTTTGAGAGATTGTAAGAATCTGCTGGAATTAAATCATCTTTGGCCTCAAAACCTTGACATACTATATCAAACTTAATCCTGCAATGTCTCAACAACTTGAAAAAAACGCTACAGAGACGCATGATCTACACTGATTAAACTGTATCCATAGCAACAACCATTATCAGGTGTGTTTGAAGACAGAAGTAGGTCACCTCTGTCCTGCCTGGACTGTTTTATATCCATTACATAAACCTTGTTAAGTAAAATATGTCCAAGAAATGACGATCTTTGCTGTAATGGGGGCTGAGGGAGTTTAAACAAAGGTAACAAATCACCTCCTGAAACTTTTCCTGAGAATAAATCTCAGTTTCAGCTCCCTTCAACTCAGCCGCTGAGATATTTTGCACTTACATCCCATTACAACGTGTGAGATTATGAGAACGTTGTGTACCTGCCAGTCTCAATACAATGCTGGCACTGCTTCCAGGTGAGGAGGAGGGAGAGATTCCCACACACAGTCACCTGTCAGCACACAGGACGCACACATCAACCGTTTGCTCTCAATGTCTCGCTGTTGTAGTTCCCTCACTGACACAGAGAGCCTCTAATGAGAACACGCTGTCTATCTTTTTCAATTGCTATGCTCTTCTTTCCTGCTGAGGATCATGGGAAATGAGTCAAGGTTAGTCCTGATATTCTTTCTTTTTCTTCAGATCAGAAGGGCTGTCCAAACCGACCACTGGCACTAATAAAAACCGCCAGAATTTACCAGAGTTCAAGATTGTACGTCATGCTACATTCACAGTAAGCCGCTACTCTTCTTCAGTGCCCATGAGGAAGGCATCAGAGACCAGTTAGCTACGTAGCAGCAGCTTCCTTCATTTTTATCCAGTGCCATATCTGAAAACTTGAGAATCATAAAATAAACAAAAAGCAAAATCCACATTGAGGCATAAGAAATATCAAGATTTTCTATTGCACAAATTCTGGCTACTTGAGCCCGGACCTTTCTAATGGCAGGCTGTGAGGTTTAGCTACAGTGTATGAGAGTTTGTGAGATGGCAAAAAATAAAAATAACAATAAAAAGAAAATATTATACACATTTTAAAACAAAACAGAAAAAAGCTTATCAAAATAATGGAACCTGCAAGTTCAACAATCTGCTGCACTTCTGTTGGTGACAAAAAAAGAAAACAAAATTACGTCTAACTTGTTTGAATTTGTTTTTGAAACTGCATGTAGTTAACTTTAAATGTATCCACTTACCCAGCAAAGGCCAAAAAAGCCATAAAACTTTAAATTTAAATGAGATTTTCTCCTGATTTTGAAGAAAGTTGTTTTCTTTATGGAAGGCTGTGAGGAAACACCTCAGTGGTCATTTATTTAAACTTGCTCACAATTGTTCTTACATGTAGTTTAAAATCCTGTTTGACACAAAATAAATCTACTTAAAGTGTTTTTGAGGATGCAGCTGCAGGTTTATGACAAAATGTTGTAGTATTCACAGAACATGGTGTTTTCCTAGTAGAGTGGAGGGGCCAGTGACCCTGTGCCAACAGGCATCCTGGTGAGGTAATTGGAGGGCACGTAGCCTCTCTGACCTCTGGCCTCCACCAGGCTCCACTCGGAGTTCCCTCGTTTGTCCTGTGACTCCAGGACCCGGACGGGTTCACCGGCACGGACCGATACTTCATGGCTTCCCCTCGCCATGAAGTCATAGGCAGCGACCACCTTAAAAAGAAAGTGAAATATGTCTGTTTTCCAAGAATAGATGAGAAAATTTTCAATGTAACATGACTGGGTCAAATTTAAAGGTGACATTTTATGCTTCCTGGCTCAAACATGTTAATTACATTTTTAAACAAAATCATTCTTAGATTATATTTTACTCTGCTCAGTAGTGTACGTTAAGCTCAAAACAAGCTGCTTTAGGGCCTCTTGTCACTTTAAATCCATATAAACTGCTGCTGGCAATGTCCCCAACTACACATTTACACTTGCACATGAAAACTGCTGCACAACGAACAAGAATGCAGCAAATAGAATGCATGTAATAGATCCGGTGAGTCAACAACAAAAAACTTGTGATAGAAGACATTAAAATTCATGTCTTGCTTATTAAATTATTCAGTGTTAAGTAACTTTCAATTAGAAATTTGTGACTCTACTTGGGTAAACATGTTGTGTCACAGAGCTCTGTTTATCTTACTCATTTTTTAAATTAATAAAGACAAGATAACATCACTTGAAAAGTAAGGATGATACGTGCTAATGCTGATAAATCAGGAGTTGGCTACAAGAAAATTGCTACTGGTCAATATTGACGTCGGAGCAGTAAGCTGGAACTGAACATGTTCATTGTGTTACTAGAAAGCTCATTGTTAGAAAACAGAAACAGGGCACAGTCTCCATAAGTGCCATTTGAGGTGATCTACATTCAAAATGTAGGCCGTGCTGGAAGAAAAGCTTTTATCATGACATATAAAACCATGAGGAGTTTACAAAACACAGTGTGTGTGTGTGCATTGTTCAAATGAAACAACTGTGCTTGTTGGCAATATACTTTCCAGGTGGTCAGGAATGAAACAAATGATGACAATGAGAAATGAACACAAAGCTGACTGTTCAGAACGGTGGACGATCTGTTATGCTTAAATAACGAGGGGAGCCGGTAAGTGTGAAAGAGATTTGAGTTTTTTAAACTGTGGCGCAAAATTTCCTGTATTTTTGCACCTGTAAAAAGTTCAACTGGAATAGCTCCCTGTAGACAAAGTATGGTGAGAACTGGATGGTTTGTACAGAACAGGGATATACAATAAATCAATAACAATATGAATAATGACATGATCAATCTCAACAGATAATACATCTGACAGAATATTCAATAATTTTATTCAACTCCGATCCAGAACTGCACTGCATTTTGGGGGATTTAGGCAGAGGGAAGACGGTAGCTGCTCAACCTCTCTGAGCAAGGTTGGTAGAATCAACTAACTCACTCGCTCTTTGGTTCCCTAGCAACTCACTCACTCTTTGGTTCCCTAGCAACTCACTCACTCTTTGGTTACCTAGCAACAACCTGCTGAGTAACTGGTAGCAGTTTCAGGTTTCACTTCCATGCCTCAAAACTGCTTAAAAATAATTAAAAAAAAAAACAATGGAGTGAAAACTGTGGATAAAATAGGAAAATTCACAGTATTTCACATATTTAAAATAAAAACTAATCAATAATTATTGATACTGACCAGCATGAAATGCTTATACTGTTTTATGTGTTGATAATTTTGTACTAAGCAGTTATTTGCTAATTCATTTAAAAAACACCTTTTCAAGCAGCTGAAAAAAAAAACAGTAAGCAGGAGAAAAACTACACACTTTCTACAATTCGTCATTGTGATATTCTCTGGAAAGGTTAAGCCCACTAGTTATGTCTTGACAAATCCCAGCTCATCACCCCGCGCTCACACATCCCCAGACCGAAGGCTTCCTAATGAGCCTCGTGTTGGTATGACAGAGCGCCCCACCAGCACTAATAGCAGAGTTTAGGTGGCTGCTCGATGTCATTAACAAACCCTTCCCCGCAGCTCACCTCTGGGCTACAACATCCGTTCTGTCTCGACAGTCCACACCAATTACCATTTAATTAGAATTTTGCCAGGCAGGAAAAGGAAGTAGAAAAAAATGTGAAGGTACCATGTCTATGGGCTGAAAAGAGAGAGAGAGAGAGAGACCTGCTGCAGCTGAATTTAAGAACAAGAGAAAAAGTCAACACATGCACGTGGTAGTAACAGACATGTTGCTGCTTTTGAGTCATCTGAGATGTATAGCAACAGTTTTCTCTGAGATTTCTGAAGGAAATTTGTAAATATAATAATTAATTGCTGTGAAGAAGTGAAGATTTGGTAATAGATCCATAACTTTATGCAAGTTTATAAGACTGACAAGCTAATCTCCTAATTTTCAAGACTGATCTTTTATTAAAGAAATCTAACTGTTAGAGCTATGTTAAGGTGAATTCAAGAAGATCAGAACGAAATGTGTTGCTTTTTGAGCATTGGAACAAATATTCCAATTTTCTGATAATTATCTATACAGACTATTGCTGTGAATGCGTTTTAAACAGCTTCTGATCTTAATGTATCCCACTGATGCATATTTCACACATACAGTAATAAGCATCAAACTGGATGCACTTTGTCAACATATATAAAGGTCAAATATAATAATTTTGTCAATTTGCCTTTTAAATAACTATTATTTCATCTATGTAAATAAAGGATTTGATTCAGCTTGGCAGCAAAACAATTCTGTTTGCTTAAATCAGGCAGTAGACTCCAGATTGTTTGAGAGGAAGAAGAGCAGAGAGACAGATCAACTCCCAGGGATGGCCAGATAAGTTTCAGGATACTTTTTGTTGAGTAAAAATCCTCAATGTTGCCTTAAGCTAAACTGTTAATGTTTACAGTTTGCAGCATTTTAGATCCTGAAAGGTTTGTGTTGAATGGACCCTGCTCTGAGTTGCTGAAATTTCTCCAGTATTTTCAAACTCAAGATTCTTCTGATTTCAATTTATTGCAAATAAGATGCTGGATAAATTTTCATTATTGAATTATTATTATTGAATTTTCTTCCAACTCCACTTTGAAACAAACTTTTCACACAAATAACACATTAGAAGTCTCCAATGGCAGGCTGGAAATAAATACGTTTCTCTTCTCTAACAAATTAAGCTGCAGTGAACATCAGTATTGTTGATACACCTTGCTTTTCAGGACTAGCCTTTTAGTTTCCATACTCCATAACATCACAATGCTGTGTGAAATCCTAACGCTTGTGACCAGAAAACAGTGTGTGGGTGTCTGTAGCATGGTCAGGGTGCAGGTGTGAAGGTTGTGAGCAGATTCTGGTGTATGGAGGGTGCAGGAAGGCAAAAACATCAACATACCATAGGTCATTGGAGCAATTACTCATTTTTACCAGCATGACATATCTCACATGTGCATAACTCCCCATGTCCACACAAACACACACACCAACAGGAGTCACTCATGTACACTCTCCCATAAACCATCCCAAATGTAGTATTCTGACACTCCATCTCTCAGTCGCCCGGTCTAAATGTAAATCAATCGGACAACATGCACACATGAGGAGAGAGGAGCTTTATCTCCGCCTGCAGCTCTGCGTCGCATAAATTAACTGGCAACCGACTTGCAAGGTTAAACAGCTAATTATGGAAGCTTCCATTAATAACACACGTGCATTCAGACACCCAGCCCTCTCTGTGCAATCACTGACTTACTATCACTGATCAACTCTTAACTTAGGAGCCCTCTCTTGTGAAAAAGTGACTCAATTTTAAAGGAAAACACTAATGATAATAACAAAATACACTTGAGCTGATCCTCATTAAGAGGGATTTATAATGATCAGAGTGCAAGTTTAATCTTATGAATGACTGATGCTTTCGTTGCAGAGAGCTGTCACAAGAGAAAGCAAAAGATCTGAGAGGATCATTCGTTTTGCAAAATTAATGAGCCTTTCAGATTTTGGTGTCACTTGAGACATGAGCTGCAGATCTAAACAGAAAACATTTAGCTGTTTAGATGTGCAGCTAAATCTCCTGAAATATGCCTTTCAATATAGAACTTTTAAACAACTGAGCTATGTTATCCAAATAAAAAGTAAAGGAGCATCAGACACAAAAACAGAAAAAAAGCACTACAAATGAGGTAAATTTGTGGAATCGGTCAAAAAAGTAAAATTGTGAACTACCTGGAATAAAGGCTGACTTGTGACGTGGACAACTTGGGGATCTGGGATGCAGGAGTGTCTCCTGAACGCCATCATGTTTCCCGGCGTAGGAAGGAATGGCGAGGGGGGCGGGTCCTCTGCTGCTTGGTGATAGCGAATGAGCTTCGATGAAGGAACATAACCTTTCTTTGCTGAGAAGACACAATTTAAAATTTCATAACATTAATAATTTCTTCTATAGAGGATCTAAAACATATGTTTTACTTTTATTAAGGTCTAAAGACAGTCAGACGGAAATAAATAATCAGCATTTGAGTTGTTAACTTGTAATAACCTTAATAATGCATTTAAAAATATCCATTTTATTCAAAATTGTAAAATCTGACATTCTCAAATTAACAAAAGATGGCCAAATTTAACTGTTTCTTTATGTCTCTTGTTGGTGAATTAGATTTTATATAGGAAATGTATCCAACGCAATATTTTAATTGCTAATATTAAGAAAAAAAAATCTAAATTTTACAAGCCAAATCCGTTTTAATGCAAGGCTCTTAATTGAAAAACATGTATTTTCATTTACTAAGTTAAATATCCAAAGTATTGTTTTGTGTAATAAAAGTAACCCATTAGTGTAATGTGTAAAGTCAACCAATAGGTGGCAGCAGAATACTAAAATAAAAACTACAAAAAATCCCAAACATCCCTTTAAAACTTGATCACAGCAAGAAACCACTTATGACCCACTGTGCTTCTTTTCTCAATTACTTTTTTTCATCAGATTAATTTGTTAAATTTTCTCAATTCTAAGCCAGTCAAGTTTAAACGTTCTTGATAAAAAGAGTCTTTACCTCCTGAATCAACCAGCCACCTCCGTTTGTCTCCACGGGTGTCGAACTCGCTGATGAGGGCAACAAAGTCCCCCTTGGTCAGATTCAGGTCGAAGTCCCGGGTTCCCACCACTGTGTTTGTGACCTGGAAGATCTTACCGGAGCCGTGCTTATCTGTTAGCTGCTGCAGGCGCCGCTGACACGACGGGCTCAGAGGCTGAAAGAGTAGAAAAATACATGAATAAAAAACATAAATTAGAAATGAAGTGAATAGACCAACATAGAAATTGTTTCAGGCATTTTGAAAGATTTCAATATTATTGCATGTGGTTTTTAGCTTTACTGAAAACAGAGCAGTCTAAAAAAAGTCTGAGCAGATCAGTGAGTAATGATCACACATAAATGACCTGAAGCCATAAGTGTCATTGTTCTGACTTTCCTGTGACTCAAATTTTTTCAGCAAAACTTGTTGGACTTGTTCTATTTCTTTTTAAGGTATGTTTCTTAAGCTTCAAACAAAACATGACGCTTACATTCCACTCTCTTAAAAGGTATTTTTATGCAAAGCTGTTTGACAAGTTTTAATTAGTGTATGAACAAGTAGAACAGCAGGAATTACAGCCAGCTGTGACTAAGGAAAAGTAAAGTATGTAATTACCACATATAAATGAGCAGTGATTTGAAGTTTTGAGCTTCATTTGGTGCCAAATATAAATTATCTGAAATTAAGGCTGTAGCTGCTTTTCCTATCCCTCCATTCCCAATTATGGGAATAACTTATGCTAGCTTGGTAGCAAAAATGAAGCATATGTGAAGTGTTTTTATTTTTAAGCAGTTATGAGGCACAGTGACAAAACCTTCAGCTGCTGCTGCGTAAGTTACTCAACAGGTTGTTGCTAGGTAACCAAAGAGTGAGTGAGTTGCTAGGCAACAAAAGAGTGAATGAGTACACCTAGCTTAGCTATCCATGAGATTGGCTAAAGTCTATCTTCTGCCTACATCCCCCAGAATGCTGTGCAGTTCTGGATAGGAGTTTCATATGTATTACCTATTGATACTGATCACGTGTCTATTGTGATAAAGATATTATAGATTTTTTTTTTGTTTTTTTTTTTTTGCCAGTGCTAATTATATAAGGTTAAATGCAAAATGAATGCACCCTCCATACCCTTTGGACTAGACATAGATTTATGACCACAATATTTTATGTTTCAGCTACATTGGAGATGTTATGTTGCTGAGCTGTATTAGCATAAATATATTAGTCACCAAAGAAAATAAGAATTATTATTAATGAATAATAATGAAAAGATTAATTATTTTTATTTCAACCTGGACAGCTGGAGAATTAAGGGTTTCTTGCACACTTTGGCATAAAATGTCCAAATTCCTGGCTCCTTCAAGCACAGCAGTCTCTACCCACTCCTGGAATTCCGTTGGATGATAGGAACTGTGAGGAAGCTGCAGATGGAGAACATCAGTGTCAATAAGTATTAAAATATCAAATATTTGCTTAGTTAACAGCATTATCATTAAGTATGGAAGCTTGTACCTGTAGTGCAAAGCCCTGAAAGAGCTGCTCCATGTCTGCAGCGAGGTCTCTGTGCAAGCAGCTGAACGTCCCCAACATTCTCCAGATCATCTGCAGAGCGAGGCCATTAAAGCGAGGAAGCTCGTTGAGGAGCAATGTGTTGATTGTCCTGGAAGTGAGGAGGGAAGGGGAAGAAATGTGGCATTAAAAACTGGAAAATGGCAACAAAAAAATGTAATTCAATACCATTCTGACAGTACAGCAGAAGAAAGCAGACATGTTGTACTCAGACCTACGTTTTTATGGATGATGAAGTATTTTGCTATAATGTTGCATTTCAAGGAAAGAGGTGGACCCTTTCAAACCTGTGAACATCATTCCAGTATTAGCAGAAACATGATGTTGTGTTGGCAGAAGGAACTGGTGCACTTTATGAAGTAAATAGCTCCATGAGCAAAGACCATTACACTGGGAGATTAAAGCAACATCCAAAGAAAATGTGTTCCTGCCTTTTTGTCATTATTTACAGTTTAGCTAAAACTGAATTAACTTAGTTACAATATTTACCACTATCAGCTGGTAAGTTAACTCCATTTTATTTGTGTTTCGTTACTTGTATGCGTTGGCCACAGCCTGTTCCTCGTAGCTCAGTTTGGGTTTTCCCTCTATCACTTCATAGTCAAGCAGCTTGTGGAGTCGTTTTCTAATCAGGTTCTTCGGTCCCACCAGGAGGTCCCGCAGTTCACAGAGTGGCTTGTGAATCAGGGTCCTCATCCTTTTTTCCTGAAAAAAATGGCAAGAGTTAAAGTTGATGTTAAACACTTCTTATATCATGTATCAAATATTGAGAACTTTCAGAATGGGTTGTTTATTCAGGAATATTTTGAATTTTTTACTCTAATTTCCTTGATATGACTTACAAACATTGGAAGGATCCACTGTCTGAGTGCAGTGTGGATCTCCTTGTAGCAAACAGGGGCCTTTTCACCATCCATGTCAAAGTCAAACTCTTCTGTCTTACATTCCAGGAACCTCTGCAGACCAACAAGTAAACATTTAAATCTTATTTGGTTTATTTAATTATGTTTCTGTGAAACAAAAAAAAAAAAAAACATTAAAAGTTTGAGTAGTTACTGAAGCAACAAGCTGTAAGGGGAAAAAAAATCAATTTGAAAGTAATAATGGCCTTGTTATTAAATATTATTTCTGGTAAAATACATACAAGACGGGAAATGGTGAAAAAAAACAGAAAAAACAGATAAGTAGGGAGGAAATGTTAAACAAGAAAGGCATAGGACAAAAATTAGAGAAAAAAACTACTGGGAGAATAATTTTAGACCTTAAAACACTAGTCTCTAGTGTGTGACCTAAAATGAGCTCCTGGGTTTACTCAGTGTGGCTCAGATGGCAGCAGAAAAATGTTTATTCATATTAAACTTCTCCAGCCACTGCAACTGGACTGGAAAGTTCCAGTATGTGAGTCAGTTGGTCCAGTTTGAGCTTCAGAAATGAACATGTGGTACTTTCTCACTTTTAACTGGAATTATTTAGATCAATGGGAATCTGACAGCTTGAAGGAGTGGAAAATAGTTAAAATAGTCAAAATAGTTATAAGGAAAATATATTTCTAAAATATTTGCAAATAATTCTCAAATGGTAAGTGAGAAATGACACAAAGCAGCCTGGAGGAAGGTAAGTAGATTATGTGTTAGGAATGCGATGACCCATCAGTGTCACTGTAAACAAAGAAACACGTGTTTTACATTCGGTTTCTTCTGGCAGCTAGATTTGGTCAAGGGCAAACAACATTCCTAGCAGATAATAAGGGGTTATTATGCCCAGGATCCACTGCATGAAGGACAAAGTGTATGTCTAATATATGTTAATCTTCCTGCCTCAGTGACACGTATTATAATACTTAGCTTTATTCTTATGGAGGACATGTGACTAGAGCTGAAAAGTAATTACACATTTCTACTTTTATTTGTCTATGGTAGAATTACCTGCAGGTGGAAAAGGTAAGTTTCCACATTCTCCAGAAGCACCAGGATCCCATATTCCAGAATGTTAAAGAAACCTTCAAGGGTATCAAACTCTTCATCCACCAGCTACAAAATAACACACGAGGAGAAATATGGTCAAATGTGCATGACAGCACAATAATATCTGTTTATTGTTCATACAAGTCAAGAGTCCACAACCTTCAGAACTGAAAGAGGCATTTTGTCCTCAGTAAATATAAATAAAACTTTAGAAATGCAGATGTAACACGATCTTTTGAAAAAAAAAAACTGCTTAGAATTTTTTGGAAAAATCTGCAAAAGAAATCTTGTTTTCATGCTTAAAGAATCATGATTTTATTTCTGTTTTTAGATTTTAAAGCACAGAAAGACAACATTTTTGCGAAAATGCAAATGATGCAATCCAGGATGGATACATTTTCTTCAATGGGATGTTGATATTCCTGAAAAATGCTATGAAAAAATCCTTATTTTATTTCCTCTAAAGTTTATTTATATATATTTACTGTCTGTGCAATGTGAGATCTTGAAATCAAATCATTTTTGTTTGGCCACACAATGTTGCCCTATATAAAAATTATTACTGATTTTGAAAGCATACAAATTTCAAACCTAATTTACTGCAATTATTCATCAAATTATCAATCAAAAAACTAACAAATTGATCAAACCTGGTATGAAGAGCCACTAGCGGCTCAAGAGCCACAGGTTTCAGACATGATGAACTGTTATTAAAGCCACCTGTGTGCAATTCAATGCATAGACATTAAAACATTAAAACAGGGTTGCAAAAAGGTGGCTGCTTTAGGTTTTAAAAAGAAATAGTGTTGAAGCTGCAGCCAGTCTACCACTGTTGCCATACAGATGCTGAACATATTGGGGTTACTATAGCAACTGTGATTTTGCAGATGGAGCTGAAAGGCCAATACGGTTTGTGGCGTCTTCCCCTGATTTAACCAGAGCTTTTTTCCACATTTTGTCATAAAGTAACATCACAAGATCTATTTACTTAAGTACTCAAAAGAATTACTTTGGATGCATAAAGATAACTGCTCGATATTGTAAGAAGTTGGGCTTAAAATATGTACTAATCATTCATTCTTATAACAGCCTGGCCAAGCTTTTATTCACAATTATGACATGTATAATGTATGCAAGAGTGATTTTACAAATATGTTACGAATATTTGTGAAGTCTGTTTTTATTGTCCTTCATGTAGAACTTCACATGCCATGGTAATCTTTCTCTTCCTCTGAGCAGAAATTATATTTTGATTATGCAGAGAATAATCACACAAACAAGCCATATTTACATCTATTTATCTTTTTAAATCATTGGATGTCCAAAAAAAAGGGTCTAATATTGCTAAATCCATGTTGAATTCCTAACTAGGAGTAGATTTGTAACTCTGGTGTGTAAACATAAGTTTCCACCTACAGGGTGTGTTTCTACAAATACTGTGCTTGTGCAAACTTAAACTACCACATCCACTGTGTTTTTCATGCTCTTTCCTTTTAAAGCTGCTCTGCAAAGTGTTACAAATAACTACAATCAAGCAATGCTCTGATGTGTTATGTTTTTTGTCCAACCAAACCTCAGAAACTTTATTATTTTAGATTCTGCCATCTTATTCAAGTCCCATTCTGGTGGGTTAATAAGAAACTTCTTTTTCCAGACACAAAATATTTCCAAGCTGGATTGGAGATGATTATCCAGACTTTTATTTTAGAATGTTGGCTCAATAACAGGTCAGTTTATACCTTTCTCTTGTGGATCATTAACTACTGAGGTGCAGCTAGAGATAAGCTGTGCACAGGTAGAGGTATTTTACTGCTTGGAGCCCATTTGTTTTGAAATGACCCTCTCATGTGTTGCTTCATTCATCCTTGTAGGTTGGGCTGCTCTCTCTAATACCTGATGTGGTACTGGAAGTCATCTTGGTTCCTACCTTTGGTGCCATTCCAGTCTCATGTTTGATGTACTGACTGAACCTTGCGGTCTTCTTTGCGATGCTGTGCGTGCTGAGCCGGTTGATCTTGTCCATAATGGTCAGGTTTTCAGTCTTCTTGTATTTATCAGCTATAAAACATTAGAAACAATATCTCACAGCTTCTTTTATAAATGTTTAAAATTAAATTAGATTAAATCTTTACTCTTCTTTTTCTACGACATTACAAAAATATCTAATAGTACCTAAAAAGTCTGCATTTGCTGTGCAACAGCTACAAATTTCAATGCATTTTATTGCAGTTTTATATCAGTCTAAAACAAATCAATACATTATTATGAAGTGAAAGGCATTCAGAAGATGTAGTTATAATTTGTTTTCAACCCTCTTTACTCAGATACCCCTAAATAAAATCTAGATATTTGTCTAGTTTCTAGAGCAAATATTTTAGTACACTTGAAATAAGACCAAACTGAACTTTAAGAGCTTGTTTTAAGTCAAAAATTCCTAAATATTAATGGAAAAGTATTAATTTATGTCTTTATCCACTCTCACTGAGCTTGAGCTATTTTGTAAAGAAGAATGAGCTAAAACCTCATATTTATGAGCTACTTTATGTTGGTCTTTCATATAAAATCCCAATAAAATACAGTAAACATGTGGAAGTGACAAAATACATTGCAAAACTGTCTTACCAACTTCTCTGAACCGTTTGTACTCATTGATGTTACAGTTCAGGGCGATGGAGGTGTTAGCAGTCTGCTCCAGGAGGGCGTACGCTGGGTGAGAGGGGTCGGTGTGTTTCTGGATGGTCTGCAGAAGGAGAGGGTAGCGCGCAATCCGCTGCACTGGCATTACCAAGAAGAAACTCAGAGAGGTGGCATTGACTTCAGGTCTGGGGTGGGGAAAAAAGGAAGATTATGTAACTTTAATGAAAAATAAGCACTATTAAAGGGCAGCTTGCTATTTGAAACTCACGCTGCTGACTTTACGACTTTAATAATGTCACTCCAAAGTGTCTCGTTCTGTTTGTAGTCATTCTCCACTAACGAGATATGATTGTAGTTCCACAAGTATTCTTTGTATGCTGCTTCGATTTCAGAGGAGAGGCTGAGGAATGAAGCACCTGCCAGGAAAAACAAAATGCATAAGTAATGCATAAGATACAGCTGAAGAATAAGGTAATTCAACTGTTACTAACTTTTTTAATAGTTGAGAATATTCCCATATATTCCTATCTCATGGGAATATGTTAATTACAACACTCTGTATGCTCTGACCTTAGAAATGTTGCAAGAGAAGAGGTTGCATATTGAAAAGAAAGGATTCTACACACTAAATCTCGTATGCAGTAAATCGTGGAAGATATTTCAGTTGACAAACAGAAATACATGAAAACTATCCCAGGAAGAACATCTTTCAACTTTTCATCTTTCAACCTTTCAAAGTTTTATATGGTAAATCTTTGGGCACCATGTTCTCACAGAAACTGTCTAATACTTAGGAGAACAGTCTCACTGTATTAAGAACATATTTCTCTTTGAATGTTGCTTAACTGGGAACAACAAAGGTTTGAGTGACTTACAGAGATTTTCTAGAAATTCTGGGTTTTTAGGCTTGAGCTGCTTCTGCTCCAACTTGAAGAGGAGGCGGCTCGACACATTCATCACCTCCTCTGTGTACAGAAACAGACTGTCCAGGTTTGGTGGAGGAGGCTTTGGAGAATATGAGATGAAAACAATGTTAAAAAACAAATAAAACCCTGATTAACTTTTCTATGCTGCAGAAATAGAAAAGCTTCAGATATCTTGCATATACATATCTTGGGTTAAATATGGTAAACTATTAAAGTCATAAATTATCCTCCTTATTGTAGCATGGACACAATGTATGTCTTGCTGTTTTTCTTAATGCACTTTTAAAAAGCTGGCGAACATTACATCTACATAGCCATGTACTTATAAGACATAGAGTTATTGGCTAACAAATAGAGTGGTTGGTTCCACTTTTATTTAGGTGATACAGTAAGATGCATGCCACAATTTTAAGATTTTTATGTGAATAAAATCTTTCCACTTTGCTTTGCCCTGTCATGAGTCACTTTCTAAAACAGATGGAAGTAAGGCAAGTAATTGTTATTCCAAATGAGCAATTCTAGTTCTAAGCTGTGGTTCAGTTGTGTCTCCAGAAAACTAGTTTGTCTACTTTGCTGTCCAGTTGTTATCAAGATGAAGGTGACGAGTAAAGTGTACCGTGGAAATGTGGAAGAACAGCAGCCACGCTTCATTACACTTAATTCAGATTGTATTACTGCACAGTCTAGATCTGGTGATGTCACACATGTTTTCAACTGAATGCATGACGTCGTTCCATGGTTAATGAAGTCATTTTTTAAAAACAAATAGATAAATAGATAGGAATTGATAGCAGAAGCTGAAAAAAACATGTTGTCCCTCTCCATTTCAGTCAAATGAGAGCAGAGTGGGCACAAACCCTGGCAGCAAACAGAACAATGTGCATATTTCTAGAGAAAACAGGAGACTTATCTGTCAAACAATGGCTGTATTTATGTGGCTGTTTTCTGTTTCCAGCTCCCCTCATCTCTGCTGCCTCGGCTCTGTCCCTCTCCATCCTTTGTCCATTGTCATCTAAATGTATTTTCATGCCTTTCTCATAGATTTCTTTCATATTTTATTCCCAGAAGACAAATCTTCACTAAAACGTAATGAATGCACCAGATAATTTCATTCCTTTACAAGCACTGCGAGGTCTTTTCATTTCCTGCTCATTCTCTTCCTTCATCTTCAGGCTCATCCATCACCATATAAACCTTAATATCATTATGTTTTATGAGGCTTCATTTCATTACTGCGGGAATAATAAATTATTATTTTGCTGTAATAAGCAATTCCTCAGCGGTAATGAAAAGCTGAAAATGGCAAGTCATTAGGAAGCTGCAGCAGAGCTTTGGGATTGTGCACAGCAACTTCAAAATGAAATTATTTTTGGGTTATTATAGCTTAAAATCAACTTTGTACCCACCCTGTTTGATATATTTGTACATTATTGGAATGTAAAAAATTTATCTAGGCTGCTGGATCCTTAATACTCAAACACAGCATTTGCTAATCAAATAAAGTAATAAAATTAACGGATCACGGATAATAAAGCAGTTATGGAAAGTAATAATAAACAGTCAATCATAAATGATCAGACCCTGGAATATCTAGTAAGGTAAATCTACATTAAAACTCCAAATTAATTTGAAAACCAGTCCACTTTGGCTTGGTGGTCTCTTCACTACAATAAGCAAACAATGTTTCTAGATTTCCTGCAAAGTAAATAATTACTCAGATCTATAATTTCAAGGCCTGAATAAAAAAGAGGAGAGTATAAATCACTAGATATCAGGTAATTTAAGATTCCTACAAGAGATGAGTAATTCAACTATTAGCTAAAGAATGCAAATTCAAATTGTTCAGATTTGCCTGATTAGACTTATTTACAGCAAAAGTTTTTGATAAATTAAATTGTGGATTTGGAAAAATGTAATATGAGAGAAAATATTAGATCAGTGGCCCAAAGTGTCCCAAGATGGGTCGCTTTCCTCTCCAGATACCACCTTACGTCAGCCACCTTTAATCTGTTTTTGGAGCGTCCCAAGTGTAATTAGATCATCAGGATAGATGTCAGTGCCAGATTTGAATAGGATATAAGAGTTTGTTTGTTTTTTCACATATACATGTACAATTACATAGACTGGACTGTCTACATGTAATTAAAACTATAACACTTTCCATGACAAGAAGGAAACCTGATAGAAACTTAAACAACATCTATCTGTCTTTTAACAAAATTTCACAGGAAGAAAGTTTTAATGCAGCCATTTGTTGGGGCCTTTCGTCTTCCCAACTGTAACTTGGTAATTATCTGAATGGTTGCCAGTAAAATGTTCAGATTTTACAGCTTTCAGAAAAAAAAAAGCATAAATAGAGGTGGGTAGATTACAAAAATTGTCCTACTTCAAGATATTTTTGCTCAATTAAAAGTACAAGGTAGCCCACCAACAAATTACTCAAGTCAGAGCAATAAAAGTATTTGATAAAAACGTTACTCAAGTACTGAGCAACAGATCAAAGCATCAATCATTTAGTATTTAAAAATGCCATCATCAGACAGACCAAGATACAAAGTTACGAGGAAATGTTGGTATTTTAAAGACCAAAAAGAAAACCACTTTATTTAAATACCATAAGTACAAAATAAAATCAGTTAAATAAATATTTTTCCAAATCAGTTTCTCTTAATAAAAAACTGATGAAACTTTAAGGATAACTGCAGGTGTGTGTCTGTATCTGGTGAATTTTTGGTTAAAACATGTTCGTCCTTCATTCAGTGAAGTTACTCACAGAGGTTAAAGTATCCAAAAATTATGAAACAATAATACTTCATAATAACATTAGTAAAAATACTCATGAAAGTACTTTTGTTTTACATAGTTACTCAAATAAATGTAATAAGTTACTTATTAACTATGGCTGTAAACAACCCCAAATGTGAGTAATCTATATTCCCTAGTCTTTTTTGATTATCTTTATCACTATATTATATGAAAATGTAGTTACATGTTACTTATTCTTACCTGGAGGTTGTTCAAGCTGTTCCTGATATTTACAGTGCAGATCTGCAGCATTTTGAGGTAACTCTTCTCTGATTGGACCAGCTCTTCGATGGCCATCACCTGTCTCTGAGCTTGCCTCTCTTTTGCTGCCGCTTCCTCCTCTTCACTCTTCTTCTTTGCTTCCTCTGCCAGCCTTTCCTGTGACACCAATGTCTCCTCTGAGAAACTGTCCTCTGAGGGAAGTCTTAAACGTATTTGATGAGCACCTGCATCTGCAAGTTCTGAAGAATCAGTAGTTGGTTTAAGCACTAAATCTTCTGCTGTCTCCTCTTCAGAGCTAGCATTGTCATATTCAACTTGATTGTCCTTCTTTTTATTTCCACTTTCCTTTGTTTGATTTTTCTTGACAACCTTCTTCACTGCACCTGAATAGCGAAGAGGAGTAGAGGCTGATTTGTGGAGTTTGAAGGGCGATGGGTTTGGTCTACCGGACACTTCCATGACGGAGATCGCTGTCAAGGAAAAACACCATAAGCTGTCTTAATGTATTTTACACACATTTTATTGTTGTCTTCAACACTTAAAAAAAATAAAAAATAATTTTACTGGAGACCTCATAATCATTAAAAAGATCCAAAAAGGATGCAACTTCAAAAAGTAAATCTCATCTTTAAACAGACTGTAAAAATATCTTAAATTTATTAACAATGAGAAACATGGATGTTCATATTCAGAACTTTAATCATGTTTTACTGGAATTATCAGACTTACAGAAGCCCAATAATGTCCAAATATTCAAAACTTTGACCCAGAAAATCTAAAACACTACAGTTTATTAAATAAGACACTGAGACCTGTATTGGAAGTTGAACCAATCCCAAGAATCAGTTCAGAGCAATAATCCAAGTCGTTTTAACTGATGGGTATCATAGTTCAGAAGTACACTCCTCTACCAATCACTGTCATTGGTGATTATTGGTGTGCAGTCTTGTGACCAGCTTACACTGTATTATGACCATGCACATTATTTTACTGAGCAAAAGAAAAGTGATTCTGAAGCTACCACTATGTACCAAGAAATAACTTTAACCATTATGGCCATTTCACAGCTAGTAGCTTGTCATCCTACCTATAAATATTAAATATTACAAACTTTAAAGTAAAATATTTAAAGCAGAAGAACAGCATTTTCTATAGATTTTGTAGCCTCACAATTACCTGCAACTAAACAGAAATATTTTAGAAGCCAATTTATCAAGAAGACATTTTAAAACAGAGAGTAAGACAAAGAGTGGTCAGATAATTCTTTAGAAATAAAAGTTAAATTGAAACATTGTCACCAAGCTTTGTTGGAACAGCATATTAATGTTGCTCTGCAGGAACAAACATTTCTGTAGCAGAGGAAACAAAAGTATCTCAAATATCTTGTTAATCAAGAACGTGGGGCGCAACGACAGCATTAACAAGGAACGCAGATTAAATGTAGTGTTATTTTAGTGAACTTTAAAGGTAGTGAGTTTTTAATTACTTTTAGCTGAAAGGGTAAACTATAATTGTACAACTGGATTTGGGCTTGTATCGTAATTGAAACAGACAAAATAATACTCAGACAGCAGCCCTGGATCCATATGCTTTATGCTTTAATAACTGAATTCAAGCCATGTGCTCACAAAGAATCATTTATTTTTGGAGAGTAGAGTGAGACAGAAAATAAATTTGCCTCCAGTTTATCTGTTAGACAAGAAGTCTGACTCCCAAAAAGTACAGACGACTAAATATTTCTCAGAAAATCACATATGAAAGCAGCCTCACATTCTCTTCTGTTTTCACAGCTGAGCCGTCTCAACAGCCCACATCAAAACCTGCATATTTACATCAAAATATGAAACAGCTGTATGCATGGTCTTCATCATTTTTGTACAGAAGAAATATTGCAACACCAACAGATTTCCAGATGGGGAGGCTGGCTGGACTGTGGACTTATTTTGCATTACATCTGTTTCACATCTACTTAACATATCTAAGGCATCTCTTTAGTCATAATAAATCCACTTTCAATCACTTAGCTACTGCTTTCTGAACGAGACAAAAGAAAGAAAAGTTAATGTAATTGTAACAATTAACTAATGATTTTTTTTTTGCAACACCATCACAACTTATACTGATAATAATAATTCATTTGAAACAGACATTTCTTACTCAGAAACACAGCAGACGGCAAGAGATAACGGGTCATTGTTTACTGGTGACTTCTCACAAGCATGCAGACAGTGGGGAGGTATTGTCATGGATACGCTGAGCTTAAGCACCACTTGTTGAGCCACCAGGAGGTTGACAAGTTGCTTAAAGGGCGATAAATGCTGCCACCAGCGTCACACTATAGCTATTATGTGGTTCAGCTGGATGATCTGTGGTTTTGAGGGGAAAACCTGACAGAAAACTGAGTCTTTGTGATTAAGTTATGTTTGAGACAGAGGCAGCTTGTGAAAACATTCAATATCAGAGGATAAGCTTTGTTCCACTTTCAAAAGTCATTTAGCATAACTCTTTGATATTGAGGAACTTATCTTGCAAAACATTAATAATGTATAAACTAAATCATTGACAGCTACCTTTTAGAGGCTTTTAAGAGCACATCCAAGCAAGGAAGGAGAAGACTTGGAATAGTGAGCTTCAGAATGTTATATGAGATAAGTAGAGATCTTCCATCTCTACGTATCCATGCACCCATCTTGTTTGCATTTTTTCAGCTTTGTTTTCATAAACTATTTGAATTCACAGCTAATATGCAACAACTTCCCATGTATTTTTGTCCAGTTTCTACTGCTAATAGAAACAAAAATTAGACAAAACTTGCAAGTACAGTGATCCCTCGTTTTTCGCGGGGGTTGCGTTCCAAAAATAAGCGAAATCCGCAAAGTAGTTACCTTTAGTTTTTACGATTATTACACAGCATAATTAAATACTCTACAATGAAACCAAAGAACAAAACCTGTTTTCAGGTCAGCGGATGTGCGTGTTCATCAATCGGGCCTTAATGTGATCCAGAGTGATGTCATTAAAGCGTCTCCTCCAACCTGCCCCGCGAGTTTCACAGCTGTCTCTACAGCAAAGCAGTGGATCTTGTCAAGCGAGCCTCCGGTCGGGTTTTCCACTGATTCTGGCCAGTTTTTTCCAGCAGGCATTGAAAGTTTCAGTTTTCATCTCCTGAATGGCCAAGCTGTATTACTTATATTTAAATGCCGTAACATTATTGGCACACAGGTAGAGAAGAACTGCAGAGACTGTTTAGCCAATCAGGACGCAGAACACAATGCACTGTGAAAAACAACTGTACAAAAAAAAATCCTCAAAGCAGCGAGACCGCGAAAGGTGAACTGCCTTATAGCGAGGGATCACTGTAACTTTTTATCAAGATATAGGAGCTTCTTTAAGTCAATAATTCTTGAAAATTGATCAAAAATATAAGATCCACTGGCAGATTACTTCACTCACAACAAGACATTTTCACATGTTACAGGTTAAAACTTTTTCAACCATTACTTCACTGCAAATTTATATAATTTATCTAATCCTGAGACAATATCAATGTTCTTCTCAAATAACAATATAATTCTGTTGCATTTCACTCTACTCTTAGGATAAATAAATCTCTATAACATAAAACAAGCAATAACATTTAACTTGTACTTCCCTTTTAATATTTATGCTACGACATCAAAAAAAAACCCTGAGCCTCACCAACTGTGAGGTCCCTATTCTGCTTTTGTATTTTGCAAAGTGCAATGAAAATGCAAAATAGTTGTGCAAATCATATTTTTCACATTATTTGCACTTGGTGTCATCAAGCGTATAGATAATTCAATCACAAGTTTTTATCTTCCCACATTACATGAAATCATGTCAACATGTGCAACTTCAACGACAACTTGTCTTAAGATTTTAGTAACTTAGTTTGCTGCCATCTAATATTTGAACTCATAAATGAATTTCATGATCTCAACAATATCATTAGTCAGACTTTAACATGTTTCAGATTCACTAAAAGTCACAACATTTGCAGATTTATTTCCGTAAGTTCTAAAGAAATGTAAAGGAAGCATGAACTGCTCGATTCATGTGTAGCCAAGCAACCAACTAATGCTTTATTTAGTTTGTTCTATGCTTTTGTTGTCATAAAGAGCTCACTATTGAGTCTACAAAAACATTTTAGAATTGAACAGGTATTTCTTAAAAAAATGTAATGTCATTCAATTTAAATCTTGAAAATTGAAGTATGGGGAATTAACTATTTCTATGAAGTTACAATCTAACTCACAAGGATAAAACAGTAAGTTATAAATAATAAAAAGGCCATAAGCTGCACCAATAAAAGTCACCACCATCATCCTGACAATAGCATGCTGTATGACAGAGACCATTACAAATACTAAGAGGTGAGGAGGCTGTCATTACCTTCTGCAAAATCCTGAATCAGCTGCGGTGAACTGAGATCTCCTCTTTTTATCCCGTTGTCCTGAGAATGCTGAGCTGCAGAGGAGAGCCGCTGCTGCATGCAAAACACAAACACACCAGTGTAACTTTCTCCAGTGACTCACACACAGCAGGCTGCTGCTTGGCCTCATGCAGCAGGAGTGTGTGAGTGTGTATTTACGACAGGGTGGGAGTTAGGGGAAAAACCTCAGAGTGCAAACAGAGGGGGATGGGAGTGGAAAGGAGGGTGGGATGGCTATTTTGTAGAGGAAATAGAGGGGAGGGTGGCCACACAAACACAAACACACACTCACACCCACACACACTCCTGCTGCAGAGTAAGCTAAGTGACTGCAGCAGCTGTTCAGAGGAGAAAACTGCACTCACCGAAACTAACAGCGATTGGCAGATCAGTCCTCACAGGGGTCTGAAGGACCAATCAGACGACTCGGTGAGAAGCTTTGTGGGATACTAAAGGGGCCAATGAAGACAGAGCAGAGAAGTGATTGAAGTTTTCTGCTCACAGGAAACAAAAGCACGGTGGGAAATCCCATCCTCTTCCAATTGCAAAGGGGTTGTCTGGATTTTCTGTTGGATGGAAACAAAAGAAGATTTAAGAGACACTCCTATTTTTTTGTCAGTAAAAATAAATTATTCAAAATATTGTTTCTAATTTATAAAAAAAAATTAATGAAGAAAATTTCAAGTAAATGTATTTTCATCAACAAAATTTCAAAAGTATAAACATAAAAAGGCTTCTGCTGCACATTTCTACAAGAAGAAACATATTCAACAGTTCATTGTTCTGTTTTCAGCCACTGTGAATACTTGACACCAGAGCTGCAACACATTTTGTTTGAATTTTGTGGACACCAAGATGCACAACTTTACAGACAATGCCTCTTTATCTTATGCTTAGAACAAATCAATGTGTGGATGTGCCACAACTTTCTTCAGCTGGACAGAAACAAAACAGATTTATCTCTGGACCTCTACAGCCAGCAAACAGTTTCAGTTATTACAGCTAGAAACTAGCAATTAGGTCAAAAAAGTAGGCATGGTGAAGGACACAGACCTGCACCTTCAGAGACACATAAAGACAGTTACAAAGTCAGCCTTCTATCACCTGAACAACATTTCTAGGACAACATTCTGTTTTTATACACTACAAATCTGAAACAAACATCCAGAAAACTGCAAAACTGCTGAAACACTTAGTTAATTTAATAAAGGATAAAAACCTGCCTGCTTAGAGCTTCCTGTGATTAATAACAACGGGAATGTTGATTAATATATTTGATGATCATCATTCTCGATTAATTTGATGATGGTATTTGACAAAATAAAATGTTTATTGCTTGTTTTACAATTGTTGACTGCATTTCATTTCTATCATGTAAAACAAACTTGAAATGACAATTGATGCAATGAGTCTATTAATTCTCTTGTTGTCAAATTTTGAAATGACCTTAAAATATTACTGCAATGTTTAAGAAAAAGAATAATCATAAAGTAAATGCAGTCAGTCAACACTAGTCAGTCATTACATGTGTTGCTGAGCTTTGGGAAATAACTGGAATGAGATAGCAGGTTCAGGAAAGTCAGACAGAAGTGAGGCGTTCACCGCAGTCAGATGCTAAGGAATGAGGAAGGATAAAAGATAGAAGCTAATCTTATTCAACAGATCGTCACATCTGGGAGGAATGCTGCAAGACTGCATTCTTTCATGACGGGACACCTGCTCATCTAAAGCAACCCGAGGTGAAGGTAAAACAAAAACTGGTTTGAAAGGAAAACATTCATCCTTGACTTCATAGAAACCAAACATCCTTTAGAGTCAAAACCTGCTCTTCTAAGAAAATACTCAGGAAAATAATGTCAAAGGTCACAAAATTTCTGAAGCTATTGCGCTTTAGAAACTTAAAGTCTAATCACTTTATCAGGACCATAAATGCAAATGAAATACCGGTATGTTGTTTTGGTTTGCTGGTTTTGATATGGTTCAAACACAGTAAGTGACTCATACCATGACTAAGGTGGAAAGGTAATTACGAATAATGATGAGCGAAGTTAGACGTGACCAATAAAGAACCTCTCATCTATATATGCTAGAGCTGAGCAACCAGCTGTCATCAAGATTTACAGGATGCAGATCACAAGTAAGTGATGGAGGAAACATGTTAGTGTGGTGTGACACCCTAAATGTAGATCAACATTGAAAAACTGTGAACAGCTTTATTTATACCTGTTCACTACAGTGGCAAAGTGTTCAATCTTATGTTCATCATTTAGCAACAGTCAAACAAACTGCACATGCACACGGTGAAAAATGCAAGATCATATATTTTTTGCTAAAACAATCTTTCATTTTGGATCACAAGTTTTTTTTTCTCCATCTAAACTTGCTTAGCTTGTTAAATTCACATTGGACTGACTCAGCTAAAAATAATAGTGGCAATAATTGCATGAGCTTAAACATTGATCCTATCAAACTTCAGTGCTGCAGCAGTCTTACCGGCAGTGAGAAGATGACAATTTCACAACTTCCTTTTCCCCACAGACAAGTGTTTCAACTTGAGTCATCAGCCAAATATCAGTGGTAAAGGTTTCAACCTCATCGGAAAAAATTTATTCCTATAAGTGTCTTCACCAACTGCAAACTGTTTCATTTACACTGTGAAGTTCCTCTTTAGTTGTAGACTCAAATTCTGACACAATCTGTTGTTCAGCTTTCTTCCTCAAACTGCAACAAAAGCTGCACAAATCAAAAACCATCAACAGAAAGATGCCGTACTGCAGCATGACTTTGCTCACTGTTTTCACACCATAGTAAGGATTCATCTGAACATGTGAACAGTTTGGTGCTGGATACAGCCGGACATGGCCTTCAACTGTATTATTTACAACAAAGGAGGTGCAGGGAACAATAAAACAATTTAAATGTTTAGAATTTGAAAAAAGTGGGGAAAATATGAATGACCTCAGACATTCAGGACCAAGAACTGTCTGATCTGGAAATGTTGTCTCAGGCAGCCAACAGTAAACGTGTTCCTTATCCTGTATCTCAAGATATGATACATTTATCCCCAAGAAGATCTCTCTGAATTTCCTTTTGGCGGTTGTGAAAGTTGCTTCTCCTGAAACTTTTTCATGAGATAGTCAATCAAAAAACTGACTGAGTCACGTTTGGTTTTTGCTTTTGTGGGAAAGGAAAACCAGCACAAGTATAAGTCATTCACAACAAACATCAAACACGGTAAATATGTTTCA